GGGTCAAGGCACCATCGGTGATCAGACACAGCCCAACAGACCTAAATGCCAAGCTCTTCCCACCCTGTGGTTTTCAAGCCTGTTTTCTGAGCAGTAATACTACTGCATCGCGAAAAGTATTCCCCGATAACCCTTTCAAAGTGTATCCGTCCCTCTCATTCATCCGTCATGGTTTTTCTGACTAGAACAAGGGATCCAAAGGTGAGCAGATGGATGGGCCTTGCAATCAGTGGGAGAAGAATCCACAGTCCCTCCGAGAGAGAGAAATTACTGGTGCTGGGGAAACACAGAGCAGTGGACCCCAACCTAGTCTAGAGCGGCAGAGAGGGCTTGTGGAGGAACTGAATCTCTAAGGAAACCTTATGATGAGTGGGAGAGAGCCCAGCCAGCATGGCTCAGTGGTTGAGCGTCAACCTATGCACCAAAAGGTCACGGTTTGATTCCCAGTCAGGGCACATGCCTTGGTTGTGGGCTCAATCCCCAGTGTAGGGCGTGCAGGAGGCATGATCAATGATTCTCTCTCATCATTGATGTTTCTCTCCCTCTCCCTTCCTCTCTGAAATCAATAAAAATATTTTTTTTAAAAAGATGAGTGGGAGTGAAGAGGCTGGGAGTGGGCCCCAAATAGTAAAGGGAGGCCTGGGGGCAAGTGGGAAGGGTGGAGGAGGGGGGCATTTGCAAATCCTACATGAGGGAGGGGCATGGCATTTAAGGAACTGAGAAAAGCTGAGTTTGTCTAGAGCGGTGGTCGGCAAACCTCGGCTCGCGAGCCACATGCGGCTCTTTGGCCACTTCAGTGTGGCTCTTCCACAAAATACCGACTTCTGCGCACGGGCCAAGAAGTTTCAATCGCACTGTATGTGTGAGCCTGCATGTGGTATTTTGTGGAAGAGCCACGCTGAAGGGGCCAAAGAGCCACATGTGGCTCGCGAGCCGCGATTTGCCAACCACGGGTCTAGAGCACAGAAGGCCCTCATGTCTTTTCTGTGCAGCCCACAGAGGTTTAAAAGTTCATCCAAAATCTCTTTCCCTTGGTCTTAGTAAACAGAGTAGACAACTAGTTTGCGTGTAAACCAGTGAAGGAGTTGATGAAGCAATAATCTCATAATTGCCACACTGCTAAGGTTCTCTGCTTGCAACCTAGACCAGACTGAAGGTTATGCACAATTCCTGAATCACTTGCTTTAAGTGCAACCCTTTATTTCCCACTCAAAAAAGCATTAGGACTCAAAAGATATTTGTACAACCATGTCCACAGCAGCATTATTCACAATCTCCAAAAGGTGGAAACCACCCAAGTGTCCACCAACAATGAACAGATCAACAAAATGTGTATGCACAGACAATGGAATATTACTCGGCCTTAAAAAAGACATTCTGACACGTGTAACAACGTGGATGAAACTTGAAGACCTTATGCTAAGTTTCAGAGCATGCTAAGAAAAGAGCCAGACACAAAACACAAAAGGACAGGTCCACCCAAGGCCATGGTGTCCAAGGGGGTGGGAAGGCACATCAGTGTTTCACAAGCAGGTGTGACATTTTTTATAAGGAGATCGTGTAATTTGTGAATGATTTTCACAGGACAAAAGGACAAATACTGAATGATTCTACTTATAGTTGTCAGTGGTCGAATTCCTGGAAACAAAAGGTAGAAAGGTGGTTGCTGGGGCCTGGAGGAATGGGGAGTAGGGGTTTGATGGGCACGGAGTTTCACGTTGGGAAGATAGAAAAGTCCTAGAGATGGATGGTGGTGACAATGGCACAACATTGAGAGTGTACTTAATACCACTGAGAGTACACTTAAAAATGGTTAAAATGCTAAAGTTGGTGTTACGTGTATTTTATAATAAAAGAAAGTATTTGGAACTTAGCTGTAAGGATAACCCTGAGTCTGCTCTAATGTATTTTTTAAATTTACCTTTGTTGTTGAAAGTATTACAGATGTCCTTTTTTTCCCCATTGACCTCCTCCATCTTGCACCCGCCCCTCCCAGGCCTTCACCACACTGTTATCTGTGTCCATGAGTTATGCATATCCTATATAATAAAACCCTAATATGCAAATTGACCGAATAGAGGAATGACCGGTCGCTATGATGTGTACTGATCACTAGGGGGGCAGACGCTCAATGCAGGAGCTGCCCCCTGGTGGTCAGTGCACTCCCATAGGGGGAGCACTGCTCAGCCAGAAGCTGGGCTCACGACTGGTAAGCGCAGCGGAAGTGGCGGGAGTGGGCCTAAGCCAGCAGTTGGACATCCCCCTGAGGGGTACTGGACTGCGAGAGGGCACAGGCCAAGCTGAGGGACCACCCCCCACCCCATCCAGTGCATGAATGTCATGCACCAGGCCTCTAGTATGCATATAAATTCCCCAGTTAATCTCCCCCCACCTACCCACCCCTGCCTTCCCTCTGAGATTCGTCAGTCTGTTTCACATTTCTATGTCTCTGGATCTATTCTGTTCATTGGTTTATTTTGTTCATCAGATCGCACGTATCAGTGAGATCATGTGATACTTGACTTTCTCTGACTGGCTTATTTCACTTAGCATAATACTCTCCAGGTCCCTCCATGCTGTCTGGAAGGGTAAGAGATCCTTCTTTTTTACAGCTGCATAGCATTCCATCGTATAAATGTACCACAGCTTTTTTTTGTCGAATGTCTTTTTTACAAGGAAAATCATTCACAGATTACATGACCTCCTTGTAAAAAAATGTCACACCTGATTGTGAAACACTGGTGTGCCTTCCCACCCCCTTGGACACCATGACCTTGGGTTGACCTGTACGAGAAGACAGTGACCAGCAAGTACACATTCTCTCCAGTCTCCTTACCGCCACCTCAGGATCAGCCTTCATTCTCCACACCTGCCTCCCATCTGTGCTCCTTCACTTCCGCCTTCTGCCTTCCATGGTACCACCGATTTCCCTACTGAACGTTCCTTTTAACCTCTCCCACCTGCTCTTTCCTTCCCTTTGCTGTCATTGTTCTAAAAGATTGCGACTTTGTCCCCCTCCCCGCTTTGCCGCTGTGTCACTCTCAGCTGCTCTCAGGGTCAGCAGCAGCTCCTAAGCACCGAAGCCCAGGCCGACGGACAGGCTCCCCCTTGATGAGCTTACCTGGCGCTCTTCCCTGCTTGGGACTCTTGTTTCTCTGCCTCCGGCTGGGCTCCTGTTCCTCTCCTCACCCCCTGAGCATAGTGACTGCGAGATTCCCTGCTTCTCGCCTCCATGTACTCGCTCCCTCTGAGATGCCATCCCCCCACCCCAATCCAGGCCTCCAGCTCTCCCCAGGCCCCAGGGAACTCCCAAAGGTACACCCCACACCTGGTCTCTGCTGGGCTCCAATCACATGCCACACTTCCCGGAAATCCCGCCTCCTTTCCCGGCTGTCCCAGAACTCCAGGAACTTGCCCTCCCAACCTGCACGCGCCTCTCCCTCCTCTTGTACTTCCAAACCCTGGTTAAGTTCCATCTCTCCTGAGAACGCTTTGCTGCTTCTCCACCTGCTCTCAGTAGAGCCAGCCCCTCCCTCCTCGGGGCTCTGACAGCTCCTTGTGTCTGTCTCTCACCATCAGGTGTGAGGTCCTAAAGCAGTGGTTCTCAACCTTGGCTGCACATTAGAA